ATAAGTTATTTTAAATTCTGTTAATTATCAAATGTTGTGGCATTTGGGGGTATAGCAGTGTGCTGGCTAGTTTTGTGTCATCTTTACACAAACAAAGGTCATTTGAGAGGAGTGATCCTCAATTAAGAAAATGCCTCCATAAGCTTGCTTGGTCTGTAGGCAAGCCTGTAGTAATTTTCTTAATTAGTAATTGATGGGGGAGGTCCAGCCCCATCAAATGGGTGGTGCCATTTCAGGCTGGTGGTCCTGGGTTTTATAATAACAAGGATTGAACAAGTCATGAAGAGCAAACCAGTAAGCAGCACCCCTCTGCAGCAGTGTCTGTCTCCACATTTCCTCCGTTTGAGTTACTGTCCTGACTTCAATGAAGGACTACGATGTGGAAGTATAAGCCAAATAAACACTTTCCTCCCCAACTTGCTTTAGATCATAAGGTTTCATCATAACAACAATAACCCTAACTAGGACAAACAGCTACCTTTTTTCTTGACCATAGGCCATTTTCTGACTTCTCTGCATGACTTGCAATCTTTTTATTTTTATTGGATGTTGCTTATTGTGAATATGTTGAATGGAATCTGGATTATGTTATCGTTATTTAGATGGCAATTTTATTCTTAATGTGAGCCTACTTCTGCTTTCCCCACATCGATGCCCGGCTGTCCCCTTTTATAATGAAGTGTTACTGGAATGTGACTTTCTCACTTATTTGTGTGTTGCCTATGGATGCTTCTGTGCTATAATCACAGACATGAGCACTTAAGACATATGCTGTATGTGTGCCTCATTCTGTTCAGACTGCTTCAACCAAATACCATAGACTGCTTATAAACCACAGGAACACACTTCTCACAGTTGTATGCTGGAAGGACCATTTCTGTCACCAGCAGGTCAGAGTCTGCAATCGAAGAGCTCTGATTCACAGATGGCACCTCTGTGCTTCATCCTCTCACAGCAGTGACAGGCCAGGAATTTGAGGTTTCTTTATGAGAGCAGTATTATTCCAATACTATTTCCCAGAATCCCCACTTTAAATACTGTAATGTGAGGAATTACACGTCAATATGACATCTGGGGAAAAGGACACAAGCACTGCCTAAAGTCATGGCTCAGAAATTTAAGCCATGTACAGCCTAGTTCCTTAAGACCTTTGCCAAACCTTGCTCTTGGTACTTACTCTTTTGAGAACTGTCTGTTCAAGTGCCAGACCCATATATATATTTTTTTTTTGATTCCTTGGCGTTTTGGCCTTCTTTTTATGTTATGCTTATTAACCTTCTGTCTGATGTATATTTGGAAGATTCTCCCCTCTCCATGGGCTTCTTCTTCACTCAACTGTCTCTTTAGCTGCACAGATATTCTTTAGTTTTATGAGGCCCCACTTGTCAATTGTTGGCCTTAATTCCTGGGCAAACTGAGTCCTACTCAGAAAGTCCTTTCCTACCCTTATACCTTGTGTGGTAATGCCTATGCTTTCTTCTAACAGTTTTAGCATTTCTGGTTTTAAATGCAGGTCTTTGATTCAATTTAAGCTAATTTTTATGTACATGATAGATACTAGTCTGACTTCATTCTTTTGTATGTGGACATCAGTTTTCTCAGCATAACTTATTGATATTGCTGCCTTTTCTCCAGTGTTTGTTTTTGGCCTCTTTGTCTTTGTCAACTATCAGATGGTTAACGTATGACAAAGAGGCCAAAAAGACTATGTTTGGGTCTTTTGTTTTGTACATTGGTCTATATATATATGGTTTTGTGCTGGTACCAGGGTGCTTTATTAATAATGCTCTATAATATTTTGAAATGTGGAAGGGTAAATACCCTAGCACTGATAGTTTTGGTTAGGATTGCTTTGGCTATCTGGAGTCTTCTCTGGTTCTGTATGAAGTTTTGAATGCACCCCCCCCCCAACTTGGAGGACTGCTGTATGTATTTTGATTGGGATTTCATTGTTGAGGTATGTTTTCTCTAGTCCTAGTCTCTTTAGGATTTATCATGAAAGCATGTTGTATTTTCTCAAAATTTTTTCCCTGTATCTATTGAGATTATATGATTTTAAGCCAACTTATATTTTTTAATTATATTTACTGTCTTATGTATGTTGAATCATTCTGAATTTCTAGGATTAAGTCAACTTGATCCTGGATGGTTGATGATCTTTTTGACATGTGTCTGTATTCTAGTCACAATTATTTTATTGTGTTTTTCAGAGAAGTTGATCTGCGGTTTTTAGTTTGTTTGTGGTTTTGTTTTGTGTGTTTACTTGGTTGAGTATTTGGGTAACACTGACTCCATAGGAAGGAATCTGGAAGTGTTCCATCAGTTGTTATTTCTCCTTCTCCTCCTCTTCCTTCTCCATTTAATTTAAGTATTAGCTGTAGATTATTGAAAATAAAATAGAATTCTGCTTTTAGTTCATTTGGCCTGGGTGGTTTTTTTCTTTTCCCCTTCCTTTCTTTCTTCCTTATCTTTCTTTTTTCTTTCTTTCTCTCTATTTTTGTCAGAAAGCTTATTACTACTATTTCAGTTTATTTGTTGTGTTTTGGGTTGTTAATCTCTCTAAGGTTTAACTTTGATGTGTTGATGTATTGAGAATTTGTTTTAGATTTTCCAACTCGATGGAGTGCATGTTTTAAAAATATTCTCTTACAAGATTTTCATTATTCATTTCTGATCTTTTTTTTTTTTTGGTAAGTTGGGCGAAGAGTATGTCAATCTTGTTTATCGTTTATTGTTTCGAAGAAACAGTTCTTAGGTTCATTAATTCTTTATATTGTTTTTATTTCATTAATTTTTGCTTTTTTACTATTTCTTGCTGACTACTGAATTTGCGTTTTTCTTTTGTTTTTCTAAATTCTTGAGTTGTAGCAAGTAATTTATTTGTTTTTTTTTAAATGTAGGAATATACAGTTAAAATAGTTCCTTGAAGAACTATTTTTAATGTATCCCAAAGATTTTGTTGTGTTTTTATTTTCATTTAGTTTCATAAATTTAAAAAAAAATTGTCTTGATTTCTCTTTTGGCCAGTTCATCATCCACTGTGTTGTTTAAATTCCATGAGCTTTGCATTTACTCCAAATTTGTTTGCTCTCAGTTTTAAGTTTTATTGTATATTAGTCAAATAGGACACATGGAAATTATCTTTTTCTGAATTTAAGATTTGTTTTAAATTCTAGGATGTAGTATATTTAGAGAAGCTTCCAGAGGTTGCTGGATAGAATACATATTTTTTTAGTGTTTAGGTAGAATAACCTATACACATTAGGTCCATTTGATTTAAAAATAAATGTCTGAGGTTTTCTATATTTTTGTTCAGATCAAATATCTATTGGAGAAAATGAGTTATTAAAATTACCTACTACTATTGGATTGGTATTAATCAGTCTTTAATTTCAGTATGCTTTTAATGAAACTCGGTGCACCAGAGTTTGGAACATGCATGTTTAGGATTGTAATGTTTTCTTAGTTAATTGTTGCCTTGATTAGGAATTAAATACCCTTTGTCTCGTCTAATTAGGTTTTAAGTCTGAGTTTGTCAGATGTTTAGATGGCAACTCCTGTTTCCTTTTGGTCTCACTGCTTGGAATACTTTTTCCACCCTTTCAATTCAAAGTGGTTCTTAAAACTGAGTTTCCTATAAACGACAGAAGCATGGATTTTGTTTCTTAATCTACCCTGTTAGCCTATGTATTTTGATTGTAGAATTGAGTCCATTATTTTTTCAAGTTATTATTCAAATGTATGTATACAGCAGCCTATTTTCTGTTTAAACAGCAAGTATGAATAAGATGAAGATAATATGGTTAAAGAAAGCTTAATAGTAAGGATCAGGGATTGGCAAACACTTCCTGCCAAGGACCGACCAGTAAGCATTTTAGACTTTGCAGGTGCAAGCTACTCTAACTATGCAGGCTCACCATTGTTAGCAAAACTTAGCCACACACAACTCAGGAGTTGTGTTCTGGTCAACTTTCTTTATAGAAACATGGTTTTCTGGTTTGTTTGTTGTTTGTTTGTACCTTCCTGAGGCAGAAGTGCCTGCCACAGCCTGCACAGCTTTGGGCATTTGGCAGTAGGGAATGAAGAAATGACAGACACACATACAGAAAAGCTAGGGTCAAGTGAGATACCTTCTACACATATGGCCAACATCCTTATTCCAAGCAAGGGAAGCCCTTGCCATTTCCTTGAGTCTAAAGCACTGGGTTCCTTGACAGCAATGTTCCCAACTTGAATGCTCATTGAGACTGAGGTGCACCCACTGTTCACAGATGGCACCACTAAAGAAAACAGGGAATAAAAAGGCCCAAATTTCAAATGGTTACTTTGAAGCACTGTTTCTCAACTTAGAAGCTGCAACCCTTTTGGGGATTGTCAAACTACTTTTCACGGGAGTCGCATATCAGATATTTATTGACTTACATAACACTAGCAAAATTATAGTTATGAAGTAGCAGCAAAAATAATTTTATGTCACCACAACATGAGGAATTGTATTAAATTACAAAGGCTGAGAACCATTGTTTTAAAGAATTGACTTTATAGCCTGGTTGAATGCAACGGTACTCCTACCCACACAAGAAGCGAGCCGCAGAGAAGGGAGGGGAGCAAGAAAAACAGCAAACCTGAAAAGCAGGAACTTGTTGGAGGGATTTGGTGGTTTGATGGGATAAAGGAGTTAAGAGGGTAACAGGGAGAATATAATCAAAAGTACTTTATATATGTATAAACTGTAAAAGAATTAAAAGGGAAAAAAAATAACAGGTTGTGGGAATTCAGTCCAAGAATGACCCCTTGCTAATGTAAAATTTTATTTCATTTAGTTTTATAAATTTTTCAAGAGCTTGGAAAAAAAAAGTTTGAATGTCCTGACATTCCTGAGTGGTTTTTCCAGCTTTGGCTGCTAAGGTTGTTTGTTGAGCACTTCACTTTTCTTTCAAGGGACTAAGAGCTTCTACATTGCACAGAACCTTACAGTGAAAACTCCCTTCTCTTAACAGGTAAACACAAGACGTGAAGAGTAGTGAAAGGGACCAGTGCTTGCCCCAGGCCCTGAGAGGAGGGAGGCTGGGTCAAGCCCCTGTGGACAGCCTGCACTGCTTCCCAAAGATGCTCTTGAAGTAGTCCTCACTAACACGGCTTGCCTTCACCTGCCATCATGGGCTGCATGAAGTCAAAGGAACCGTTCCCATTTCCTACCGCGTTAGACATGGACAAGCTGCATGAGAGTGAAGAGGCCTTTATGCCAGATGACAGCTGTCACTACAGGACGCCTTCTCCAGATGAACAGCAGCAAGTCCAGGCAGTGAAGAAACCCCCAGAGCCCGGTGCTGTGATTGGTGCCGTGATCCTTGAATTTGCAGACCGTCTGGCCAATGAAATTGTGGAGGATGCTTTGCAGCAGTGGGCATGTGAAAACATCCAATACTACAACATCCCATACATTGAGAGTGAGGGCTCTGACACCACCATTGACTGATGATACTCAACTGTGCTCTGGATGTAGTCGGTGCTAGTTAAATACATACGTTTTCAAATTGCAACTGGATGTTAAACCACGTCTGTGATTAGTGTAGGGATGCATATGATGAAATATAATTTTAAGTAGTTCTACTATTTTAACATCAATGTATATCTACTTGATCTCAAATTTTGGTCACAGAAAGCCTGAAAAGAGGTCTTGTGCCACCCAGCCATTAGCTATCTGTCATACCATGCTCTTCCTGGGGCAGGAATGACATCACCAAAGAAAATGTTGAATAAGAAGTGCTCAAGTTCCAAGTGGTTATTTTAAGGGGTTACTTTAAAATGACTACTTTTGTTAATTTATACAAAAAAAAAAAAAAGAAAAAAGCAAGGAACAGAACTCCAGCCCTAGTGAACACACACATAGCATCCCTGTAGTCAAGACCATCAAGACCATTTGTGTCAGGGACTACCCACTTCCTGATACCTGGAACCTGCCATTAGAAAACCACCAGTGGAGAGGGCTGCCTTGAGTGTCCTTCTTAGTAGGAAATCTATTTTTGTAGATGGAAAGGGTAGCAACCACCCTTAGTCTCAGGGTCATGCCACAGCTGTTACTGGGTGATTTAAACTTTGCATGTTACAGCCATCTTTAAAAGATAATTTATAGAAGTCATAATAGTTTATCACATTGAAAAAGAAGCTCTTTGGTACCTTTTATTCAGTAAATCTTAAAAATGACAGAAATCTAGTCTGCAAGGTGAAAATTTGAGCCTGGTTTTCATGGCTAACTATGTATAAAGTCTCACTACAGTGTTAGTACAGGGGTGGATATGTAGATGGTAAAAGAGGACTTACTCCTCCCAAAGGAAGCACCTGGGTGGGATTTAGTAGTCACTCGTGCCCTCAGAACCCTCTTAGCCACATATTCTCCTCCTGAATGGAGAACATGTGTGGGTTTTAGCAGTTATGCATGGCCACAGAGTACTTCAGCCATATTGTAGAAGTGTTAAAACTAGGCATTTACAGAACTATCATATGCTTTATGTTTTAAATCTTAACTGTTAAAAGCTCAACAGTAACAGAAGACTTAGATCAAGTCAATAGAAGAGGACTGAGTGCCTAGAATTATCACCAAGCTGTGGTAAACACCAAGCAAAAAGAAATGGGGTCCATCTATACCAATCCTGCAAGGATACAGTTTATCAGAATTCTTGAAATCCAAAGCCATTGGTGTCATTGTGAGCTAAATAAGCATTTGACTTTATCCATCATGAGAAATGTTGCCTCTAGTTTTACAGTAGTACATTGGAACATATGTCAAACAGTGTGAATTCTCCAAGTTTTAGGAGCAGAGAGGTTGTTAAAATGAGTGACAGCCATCATTCAGTTTCCTTCCAGACACCTGCTTATTCTGTTAGTTTCAATAAACCCTGGGAGTCCCAGTGCTCTACCACACACAGTGCCCCACTACACTGGCAACTAGACAGCTTACAGAACTGCAACAAGCCCTCCTACTCCTATGTCTTCCACAAGTATAATCTGTAGTTCATAGAGCAGTGCAGTTTCCAATGTCTATACTGATGATTCAGGCAAAAACTCCTAGGTCATGATGTTTCACATTCAATTGGTTTCTCATACGAAGACGTCTATTGCAAAGTTTCTTGCTATTTAACAAATATAATTAAGAATATAAAATAATATATATGTTGGTCAGAACATGAAGACATAGTCTACACAGAGATATTGGCAAGTGAGTATGGGTTGAGTATTTCAACTTCAGGTTTCTTCTTTGTCCAAGGGTAGAGCCTGCCCAGTCTACATCTAGCTAGAGGTCAGCTCTCTGCTGCCTGCTGCTCCTATGTTTCACAACTATAGTTTAAGCAATTATGATGATCATTTTCTTCATGAAAGTAAGGACCGTCCCCTCACTCTGATGCAGGCGAATATATATATATATGCACACACATATTCTAAGAGACCTACTTTAAAATATATAAGAACTGTATATCAGCCCATGATCGAGGAACAACAAGGCTTACACAGTAAGTACTGGATAAACTGTGTGGTAAAACAATTGAACAAACTTTATACCACACGAGATAGTATCAGGATATAGTTTAGCCTTGATGAGAATTAGGAATCTATCATGAGGAATCAGCCCTCTTTCATGCCTTTATATTCAAATAACAGCCTCATTTGAGATCTTTCATTAAGGAGGAGTGGAGTGAGAAGGAAGGACCCATAAACAGAACACTGAACAACTCCTTAGCTACTGGACAGGGACATGTGAAACATCAGTCTTAAGGCACATGACCTCCCAGTGGCAACTGCAGAAGTAGATCAGTGGAGGAAAACATGGCCAATTCCTTACTTACTGAGACTCAGAACGCCAGTGCGCTTACTGCCCACCCTGTGTCTCGTTGGTACTGCTGCCTTTGATTACAGGCCTTGGATGCTAGAATGCTCCCGTCTTAGCTGCCTTACCAGTTCTTTACCATCTACCTGTGCTCATTATCGCTTAAAGCACAATTCTGAAGGAGACAAACATGATTATCTTAGGCCCAAAGGAATTTTTATCAAAAAATTCCTCAAGTACTGAAAGTGTACAGAAATCACATGATACGTACATCCTAATTAATCACTCTTGGCATTTGGTGAAATGGGACAGTACACTTCTGAATTATATTATTTTGGAAACCAGAAGATAGACATGATAAATGATGTCACAGAACAGTAATGTACCTGTACTATCGGTACAAATACAGCATCTATCTAAAATGACCCAGCAAGCCAGGTGTTTCCTCCTTCAAGCCATAAACACCAGCTGTAAAGAATTAGCTGTCACTTTAGTCCCAAAACTCAAGTTTTGTTGGCAAACTCCCTTCACTGGAGGAGTTAACTCTGAAGTGGGAATACATATTTTTCCCAAATATTTTTGTGAAAATGGTTTTGTTGTTTTTTGTTTGTTTTGGATTTTTTTGGTAACTATAATAAAAGTCTAATTGCAATTATCTGTCAGTCCTCATTTAATCGAAGCAAATACTTTTTGGTGTGGTTCCACTGATGTTTCACATAAAGGTTCTATTCTGTATTGCTAACAAATACAGAATATTTTGTATTGTTCATATACAAAGTGAGTGAAAGTGTACCTGTACAGACAAGCCCTTGGGCTATTAAGGTCTAATCTAGGAGTGTTGAGAACTAAATGTAAAACGTGGTCAATACCATAGCACTATTTCAGACATGCTCCTAACGTGTGGAGGAAACGTCCTGTACGACAAGTAGACAAGGAGCTGAGACCATGTGAAATCAACGCCCTCTGGGACGGGGCCACCGCCGGCATGCGGGATGAGGTGCAGGCACAAGCCCACTGCTCCGTTCAGTTCTGTTCTTAACTCTCTTATTTTTTAGGAGCCTGGGATGAAGGAGAAATTATAACAAGTTAAAAATTAAATGATTAGCTGACTCTAATATAGAAATCATTCTGACTTAGAAATATAAGGTCTTCAGTCTGGAATTCTCTGATGTTTCTTGCATACCTTAAATGTTCTGTCAGGGGCTGGAGAGATGGCTCAGTAGGTTAGAGCTCTGGCTGCTCTTCCAGAGGACCTGAGTTCAGTTCCCTGCACACACATGACAACTCATAATCACCTTTAACTCGGGATCGTGTTGTCTTATGGCGCTGCAGGCAGATGGTGCAAATGTACGTGCATGCAAATTCTGTCAACTTTTAATTACTTTGATTCCTCATTTTTTCCAAGTTAGCAGATACTGCCAATAAGAATAGTATTTTCATTTCTACCTGGGGAACTGGTTCTGATGACTGGGAAAAGGCTGAGGATTAGTATAAAGCATTCTGGAGAACTTTATACAACCTTTTTTTTTTTTTTTTTGCATGAGATTTTTAATGTTTACAAAGTAATTCTTCTGCTACAGTATTGTTTTAAAATACATTCATGTTTAAAGAAGGAAAATTTATAAAGCATTAACATGTCCCCTCCAAATTTCAGGGTCTTTATTTTTGATAATCTGTACATAAGTTGGTTAATTAATATATGAACTAGAAGTAAAAGTTACCATTTTAATGAGAAATAAACTCAAGATTCTCTGGAGCTCTTGAAAATTTCTTATAAACCAGGGACCAGCAAACTATTTCTGATGAAGATCACAGTAGAAACTTAGACACCTGAGGTGCTGCGGGTCATAACGCCTGTGCCATGGCCACTCCAAGCAGCCATAGAGAACAAGCTCTGCTACACTGTAGGAAGTTTCCATAAAACATTGGTGTTTGAACTTCAGTTGTTATATCATGAAAAGTTATAAACATTGGTGCTTAAACTTTGGGCAACCATTGTATTATGAATTCCCAATCATTTAAAAATGAGAAAACCATTTCCAGCTTGCAGGCTGCATGAAAATGGGCAAGATGCCTGGCCTAGCTTCTGTGCTGTTAGGTATGCTGATGCTTGCTCTAAAATAAACCTCAGAATTTCAAATCATTGCTTCCCAGAGATTTAAAATAACTATTCAAATCTTCATCAGTAACATCTTTTAGATCAGCTGGTTTCCATTTTGGAGTCTGGTCTTTGTCAATGAGAACTGTCAAAAGAAGGTAGAGACATTAGCACATCTTTTTTCTGCTATTACCAGATTTAATTACTGAACTAACAACTGTATCTTACTAGGCATATTTTTCTACAGCACATTTTTTTTTCTGCAAAGTTTATGATTTAATAAAACTGAGTGAACTAATCTGGCAGCTCAAACATTCCTCTCCTATCCTCAGACAAAACTATAAATGAAACCTCCATGTTACAGATAGCTAAACACAGCATTGGTGCAGGTAAGAGGGCAGGGCCAGCCTTTTAACCAGGTTTTGAGAGGAAAATTAATTACTTGAGGTAAAGGAAAGGAGATTTTATACATAAATGTAGACATCACCCTTCTGTGAAATCCTCTAGTATAGGGAGCTCTGAACTAAAACAACTACCACCAGACCATGTTAGGTAATCACCAAATCCACTCATGTTTCAGTGTAGACATCACTCAGGCTAGCCACAATCTACCCCCGAGG